CTTTAGAAAAAAAAAAAAAAAAAAACATTGGAGCTGTTAACTTAGTCCTTGGACCTTTTCTCATTCCCTTGGGGAGCTCATCTAGTTTCATGGCTTTAGATACCATTTACACACTGATGACCCCTGTATTTCTATTTCCAGCCCAGACTTCTCCCATGCACCCCACATTCATATATTCAGCTGCCTACCTAACACCTCCATCTAGATGTCTAATAGGCATCTCAAATTAAACATGTCTAAAACCTGGCTTCAGTCTTCCCCCAAATCTGTTTCTTGTGCATACTGCCCCATCCCAATTAAGAGCATCTCTATCCGTCTAGAAGTCCAGGTTGCAAATCTTGGGATTATCCCGATTCTTTTTTCTCTCCCATCCCAGAAATGATCCATTTGGTGAATCCTGTCAGTTTTCGCTTGACAGAGGACCACTCCTCCTGCTTCCTCTGCCACCACAACAATTCAAGCCAACTATCTCTTGCCTGTAGTGCTGGGATAGTCTCCTAACTTGCCTCCCTGCTTCCTCTCTTGCCTCCTTCAGTTGATTCTCAATACAGCAGACAGAATGATCCTATTAAAATATAAGTAGACTCTGTCACTCCTCTTCTCAGAACCTACCACTTGCTTCTCATCTTCTGTAGAGTAAAAGTCCAAACCCGTAGAGTGGCCCACAAGGCTATGCCATCTGCCATCCACCCTCTCCTGGCTCTCTGACTCACCTCCTGGTTCTGTCTCCTCCCCTCTAGTCACGCTGGCCTCCTCACTGTCCCTCAAACACGGACAGCATGCCTTGTGCACCACTGTGCCTTCTGCCTGTCCACTCTTCTCCCTGATAGCCATATGGCTTACTTTCTCATCTCCTTCAGATATTTCCCAGATGTCACCTGCTTGTTGAGGCTTTCCCTGCCATCTTGTTTAAAACTGCACCCATCCCCCAGCTCCCAGAACCCCATGGCCCCTTGCCTCCACTTAATTTTTCTCCACTGCACTTATTATCAACTAACATTCCATATATTTCACTGATCTATTGTCTGTTTCCCTGGAACCAAGATCAGTGCCTGGCACATAATGGGTATTCATCAAATATTTATTGAACAGATGGATAAAAAAGATAGACAGACAGATGGACACTAAAATTAGGAAGATATTTCCCTTCCTTCTTTTTTCCTAAGTCAGCAATTCAAGTCCTTTTTTAGCTCACGGACTCCTTTGAGAATCCGATGAAAGCTATGACCTGTTCCCTACCTCCCTCCACTCGTCAAGTGTTCTTTTGAATATACACACCAAAGCTGACATTCAGTTTAGGGAACTCACAGACAGCCACACCTGAAAACCCATCTAAAAACTGCAATATGAGAAATGCTGCTCAAACATATGATCAGTGTGTCTCATAGAGTCTGGGTTATTGTGGAGTCATGCTAAACCCAGGAATCTCTCTCCTTAGCATTTTAGGTTTCTGAGTGAGGTCCGGAGGGAAAGGAAGGACTTGCTTACCTGGGCTTCATTTGCAAACTCCTCAGCAGAATTCTTCTGCATGAGAGTGGCGAGGCAGGCAAACCTGCGGCTGCTGGCTGTGTTGTCCAGGTTATAGAGCTGCCAGAGCAGGGAGAGGCAATGGACCCGCTGCTGCAGGACTGCCAGCTTCTTCTTACTGCTGTGAAGCATAGAGCGCTTAGCATGCCCTTAGTCTGCACCACTGCCCCACTGTCCCTCACCACAAAAATCCAAATCTATTCATCAGAGGGCCATCTACAGACTTTCAAACTCAGACATGTTCCTGGGATCCCCATAAGCCTTTTTAAATCATCCCTCTTTTTTTTTTTTTTAATAGGCCCAGTGTGGGACTTGAACTCACGTCCCTGAGATTAGGAGTCCTGTGCTCTTACTGACTGAGTCAGCCAGGCGTCCCAAATCATCCCTCTTGATTGAAAAATTTCGAGGAAGTGTTTTTAAAAGGTTCATTCTTTGAATTGCTATTTTGAATATATTTCCTATAAATTATTATAGCTCAATAATTGGGTAGCGATTTAATACTTTGTATGTATATCAGAAATAATATTGATACATATATGTATATATGTGTACACATGTATACACACATACATATGTGTATCTTGATTTGAAAGAGACAGGGTAATATGTATCTTTATTTGAAAAATACAGAGTAACACCATGCTTCAAAAACAAAAGAAGTCCTCACTCTGCTACATTTCATTGGCTCAGAGAGTAAGGTAGAGGAACTGGAAGTGCTATAGGCTTGAAAGAGGAGTCTTAGGTCAATAGAGGCAACACTCCAGGCCCAGTCCTAGTTTAGTTCTCTGTGGTCCTAAAGAGAACGGGATGACTCGGCTAGGCTCCTCACTTCTCACTAGGGTTGTTTGGAGGTTGGCTTAGGGAACAGGAATGCCAATATTTTTCCAGGAATGTTTGGAAAAAGACACCAAACCAGGTCCAAGGGAAATTCCTTTTCAGCAGTCGAAGGGCTTGCCTGGCCAATTTTTTGGCCAACGTGATCTGTCCCATGTTGAAACAGACCTGGAGATGGGAAAATGAGAAACAGTAGTGTAAATGTGGGAAGAGTACTACGGATGAGGCTCTGGTCATTTGGAGCTAGTACTTGCGCTGCTGAGGCGCTAGAGTGAGAGAGCTGCAGCAGGGCCTGGCCATACTAACGAGCACCAGCAGGGCCATGTGCAGGTAAAGGAATGAGAAAATAGGATTGTGGAGAAAACACCCTTTTTTTCCATCTCCCACATGTTTGTCAGTAAGAAGGCTGTGATTTGGAAAGTGATGCTGCTGGACTGAGATGAGACTGTCATGCAGCAGAGACCCAGATGTTTCAGATGCCACTGAAAGGATCTGAAATGTCACCAAATCCCTTATCTGTCTTCCTTAAATAGGTTGTGCTGCCACTGTGCATGTGGGGGTAGGAGTTGAAGAACTACCCTGAGGTTATCATATCCTTCATGTTTTAAGACTAAATCCTCCAAGAAAGTGATAAAGTCTGGTGATTCAAGAACAATCTTGGGAAGACTGCACAATAACTTCTTATAAAGGGAAAGAAATAATTATTTAAACTTACTCAAAGACCTCTGGATGGAAACGCAGATAATACAATACTATGGAAAACTCTAATATTCTCTTTGGCATTCAAAGGCATTATACACATCAGGTTTACTCTCCTAGCCAGGTTATCTTAAGGTTTACATTGAAATTAGTTTTTATTTTAATTATTTTTAAATTTTAAAGCTCAGCTCTCTAACAAAACATCCCCCATGGTTTTATGGAGTCATTACATATAAATTGATAATTATCCCAACACATTTGTTCTATTGATTTAATAGTAGTGAGGCTGGGAAAAGTTGCTGAGCTGTCCTGAGTTATTTTTACACAATAAATAAATTTACTCCATTATGTCCTTTGTAAATAGAGTGTCTTGTGGCATGCTTTCCCCAGAGCTTCTACTTGTTATATAAATCTCATTCCCTGAGGAAATTGTTATGATATAGAATAACCTATGAGGTATATTATTTTTTCTAAAAGCGAGATGTAGAATGGAATATAGAGAGCTCCTATTTGTGTATAACAAAGGAAAGGGGAGACCATATACATTTACGTATGCCAAACCCCTCTGGTAGAATACATAAAGATTCATAATGTCAGGGAAGGGACATAGTAGCTGAGTGATGGGGTTAGGGGGTGGGGAGACTTTCAGATGTATGTTCTTTTGCTTTCCCCTAGCTTTATTGAGATGTATTTGACACAAAGCATTGTGTAAGTTTAAGATGCATGACACGATTTTTTACTGAGATATAAGTGACATATAATATGTTAGTTTTAGGCATCCAACATAAATTTTTTTCTTGATGAGAACTTTTAAGATCTATTCCCTCAGCAACTTTCAAATACATAATACAGCATTGTTCACTATAGTCACTATGCTGTACATTATATCCCTAGGACTTATTTATCTTATAACTGGAAGTTGTACCTTTTGATCACCTTCACCCTTATGTCCAGCCCCCAGCTGTCCTGAAATTAGTTTACATGTACTCCACTAAACAAAGGACATGAATAAGCAATTGACAGAAAAATAAATGACTGGTAAACATACAAAAATAATGTACCTTATTAAGAAATACACATTAAAGCACAATATAACTTTCATCTACAGATTAGCAAGTTTAAAACAGACTGATAACATCTGATGTAAGGATGTGAAGAACTGGGAAAAATTCGAATTGATATACAGACGGTTCCTGACTTACAATGGTTTGAAATAACAATGTTTTGACTTTCACCCAATGGTGTCAAAGTGACATGCGTTCGGTAGAAACTATCCTCTGAATTTGGATCTTTTCCTGGGGGTAGCAATATATGTATGGTATGATACTCTCTCCTGATGCTGGGTGGCAGCAGTGGATGCACTCCCTGTCAGCAATGCGATCATAAGGGTAAACGACCAACAGACTTACAATCATTCTGTCCCCGTATAACCATTCTGTTTTTCACTTTCAGTAGAGTACCCAGTAAGTTATATGAGATACTCAACACTTTATTCTAAAATAGGCTTTGTGTTAGATAATTTTGCCCAACTGTAGGCTAACGTAAGTATTCTCACTGAGTATGTTTAAGGTAAGCAGGCTACACTACAATGTTTGGTAGGTTAGGTATATTAAATGCATTTTCAACTTGTGATAGGTATACTAGTTTTGACTAAATGATATTTTCAACTTATCATGGGTTTACTGAGATGTAACCCCATCATAAGTCAAGGAAGATGTGTAATTTTGATGAACACTTTGGCAATATATTTATTAAATGTACAATCATTCCTATCTCCCACCTTAGCATTTCTGCCTCTGGAAATTTCTATTACAGAAACATTTTTACAAGGGAAACAAGAGATATTTACAAGAATATTCACTGTAGCAATGCTTATAAAAATCTCAAATTAGAGACAACCTAAGTGCATGTGAAGAAGGGACTGATTAAACTTTGATATGAGCATACAATGGAGTACTTGGCAGCTGTAACTGATTGGATGTACACTAATATGCAAAAATGTTCAGTCTGTACTGTTAAGAATAAAAGTCAGCTACAGAAGAGAATATAGAATATGATTCTACTTAAAAAACAACAGAAAATAATAATGGTATGCCTATGTGTGTATATCTGGTGGAATTTGCACATTATTAACTATGCTGGGGGTAGCATGGAGCTCTTTTCACTTTCTCCATATTATGTACTGCTATGTTTTGAATTTGTAAAATCTTTTCGCACATTATCACATTTACAATTGCATACAAAAAAAGAGAGATTTTTAAAAGAAATAATAGGGTAACCCTCAAGGAGAAATAACTCAAACTTCAGGGCCCTGCCCTTACTTTACCTCTGACCGAAGACAGCAGAAAATGGCTTCCTCAAACTGACAGATCTTCACTTTGTGCTTTTTCAAAAATGAGAATGCTGAGGGCTGGCCCAGAAGACTGCTTGCCTTCCTCAAATAAAAGAAGGCCTCCGAACAAGACAAGGGATGGAGAAACAGGATTAGGATTTGGACGACCCTAGTGGTGTGATGAGGATGAAGGACAGAGGAAGGTTATGATGAGGTCAAGATTTGGATCGGAATCAGAATGGGTTCACAGTGAGAAACAGGGAGCTGGATGGCCCGCGCAAGTCAGGGGCAGGGCTGGCAGTGGTTGGTGCTCTTGGACTACCACGTTCCCACTTTGTGTTTTCTCCTAAACCCCTTCCAGCACCTTTCTCTCTCCACTTTGCTCCATTTTTCACCCAAGCTGACTTGACAGTAAGAAATCCCCACCAAATTCCCCAAGTGAAAGGGCTCAGCTCAGGGGCTGGGAGCAGAGCGTGCTCACCATGTAATTATCTGACAGGTCCAAGGAGGCTGCAGCAGCCTCCAGCAGGTAATAAAATGCACATGTGGTTTCTCCGATGACCAGACAGTGCTGGGTGAGGGGTGAGAGCACTAACTGCAGGATTTCCTCACAGTGACAGGGCTTTGTGGTCAACATGTCTTTCTCGGGGCTGGTCTGAGCCAGCTTCCTGTTCACCTGATCCAGGAACTCTTCCTCTGTTCTTTGTGGAGAGAAGATGAATGGAGAGTGGTCACAAAGCAGCCACTCTTCTCGGGGCATTCCCAGATCTCCAAGCCACTGTTTCCAGGAAGCTTTCCTTTATGACTCATCAATTCTACGTTTAGCCTTCTCCTCCAACACTCCATAAGTTTTTGAAAGTCAGGGACCTGATCTATACTGTCAAAGCCCTAAGGAATTTTTTAAAAACCTAAAGCCAATCTAAGTACCTCACAGACTAAATGGGGAAACAACTTCACCTGAAGAGTAAACTAACAACGTGAAATAAAAACATGAACATGATACAGGGCAATAAGTAATAATACAATTCTCTATTAGCATATTTGAACTTTGTCACAACACACTTGAACGTGATTTTATACAACACCATCTTATCCTACAACAACCCTGTCTTTCAGGTAGGCAAAAACTACCTTCCTTTTACCATTGAGGAAATTGAGGCTTGGAAAGCTTAAGTGACTTCTAAATGACCTCACAGCTACTGAATAGAACTACAACTAGAGCTCACTTCTCTACTAGTCCAGTGCACTCCCCACAAACACCATGAGTTCAAAAGAGGTTAGATCTCTCTGAGACAGAATGATTGAAAAAGATGGAAACTGAGGAGGGCTTTGAAGAATGGTAAACACTCTGATAAATAGAAGGATGTGGAGGCCACTTAGTATTTCAAAAAGGGGGAATTGTGTGAGCAGGGATATACAGGTGAGTGTGGGGATGATTCATGTAGAGTACAGATTTTTCTTTGAAAACCATAAGAAATTAGGTTGGATAAGCAGGACAGGAAACTCTAGAGTGGCTGGTAAACTCAAGGTAGGGACATTTAAAATCGATAGGCTAGGCATTACAAAGCCAGGAGGCACATGATTAGGAAATGTAAATTCCTTTTAATATCATCTGGGATCAAACATAATTGAGAAAGCAAATTTACAGCAGAGAAAAATCTGCTCTGTGTACAGTTCATCTGAGAGTTATTAAATGAAGCTTTTCCTAAACACTAAGAAATAATTTCCCTTCGAAGAATCAAAAATTGCCTTTCCAAGTCTCTGTTAACTTGAACTCTGGACTGAGTACAAAGGTCACTACTCCTGGGTGGTCAGAGGAATTCCTGGTCTGCAGGTGAGGTGAGTGGCCCAGTTCAGTGGTCACCTGTGTCTCATTTCCTGGCCCCCCACACCCACTCTCAGCGTCTCCATTTACCTGCAGTGTTCACTTGTGAAGGCCTCCTGACTTCTGAATGGTTTTGTCTGGAACTGAAAACTATCTGTAGGGAGAAAAATATCATCTTCCATTATCCATCTTTGTATTAACTGAGAACATTTCCAATTCCTGACTACTTCTCCAAAGCTTAGTTCATGACCTAATTGCCTCCCCCATTGTTAAAATGGTAAGTTTAGGTTTAATATTAACCTACACACAAAATAGAATGGTGGATCACAAATTCCTTAATGGCAACTATTTATGATTCAAATAGTAACTCCTCTCAAACCTCCCAAACCAGCCCGATTCAATTTGCTAGAAAAATGAATAAAGAATATGTCCACCCGGTTTGACAGTTACTTCTAATAGAAGAAATCCCTGAATATATCTGGATTGAATTTCTGACCAGATGAGAGTGGACCACAGAGCTAGACCTAGTGAGGAAAATCATGAGGGCACCAGATGCCACAGTCCACTAGAGTCACAGTGGCCAGCAGGGGGTTTCAGCTTTACCTAGCTGGCCTTAAACAGCCCTTATCCCTCAGATTTGACTCTTCCTCTGCAGCTACCTTCTCACAGATCAAAAAGCAAAAACTGGGAATGATGAGGAGATCTTACCATTATGGCTCAGAAGCACGGAGGGCAGGATTGAAAGGGGGTACCCAAGAACTGTTACAGGGAGGACTTGTGTTAAGTAGAAGGACCAGCTCTCTGAATGCGGAACCGTGTCAAATAAGGTAGGGTAAAGTTAAGACTCAGGTAACTAAAGAACCTGGAGTTTGGCAGCACTACCGCAACACACAATTTCCAGGGGCACCATCACATCATAGCATGTGTGACTAGCGCCCTCTAGATGTGTGCAGTACCTGTTCTGCATGGCCACGCACAGAGGCCCTGAATCTGGGAAGTATCCTCAGGGCTTGGTCGTGCTGGGAAGGTCTTGAGCCTCTCTCATATAGACTGATCAGGCTGTGTAATCTCAAGCTGACACTAACTATGAATGATAGGGTAATTTCTTCACAATCCTAGACTAGGACATTCACTGTTACTTTCCTCTTTCTCCTTGGAAAGTACAAAAGTGCAAATGCCCAGAGTTCATCAGCCAATGACTAATTTTTCCAAGTCACTGGTCTACCTTCACAGAGTCATCAGAATGTTACAGCTAGAGCAGACATTAAGAGAATAGATTAACTTCTTGATTTTAGTCCATTACCACCAACAATTCCCCATCTCTCCCTTATCCCTCTCCTCTGCCAACACCAACTTCTATCAAAGTAGAAAAAGGGAAAATTTGGTTGGGTCTTGACAGCTGTCTTCAAATATGTAAGAAGGGGCAATTCTGATTTGCATTTCCCTGATGTTCAGTGATGTTGAGCATCTTTTCATGGGTCTGTTGGTCATCTGTATGTATTCTTTGGAAAAATGTCTATTCATGTCTGTGCCCATTTTTTAATTGGATTTTTTGTTTTTTGGATACTGAGTTTTATAAGTTCTTTATATATTTTGGATACTAACCCTTTATCAGGTATGTCATTTGCAAATATCTTCTCCCATTCTGTAGGTTGCCTTTTAGTTTTGTTGATTGTTTCCTTTGCCGTGCTAAAGCTTTTTATTTTGATGTAGTCCCCATGGTTTATTTTCCCTTGCCTCAGTTGACATATCTAGAAAGAAGTTGCTATGGCTGATATCAAAAAGGTCACTGCTTGTGTCTCTTCTAGGATGTTTATGGTTTCAGGGCTCACATTTAGATCTTTAATTCATTTTGAATTTATGTTTGTGTATGGTGTAAGAAAGTGGTCCAGTTTTATACTTTTGCATTTTACTGTCCAGTTTTCCCAATAGCGTTTGTTGGAGAGATAGTCTTTTTCCCAATGGATATTCTTTCCTGCTTTGTCCAAGATTAATTGACCATGTAAGTATGGGTTCATTTCTGGATTTTCTATTCTGTTCCATTGATCTATGTGTCTATTTTTGTGCCAGTACTATACTGTCTTAATCATTAAGCTTTACAATATAACTTGAAGTCCGGAATTGTGATGCCTCCAGCTTTGTTTTTCTTTTTCAAGGTTGCTTTGGCTATTCAGGGTCTTTGGTCATTCCACACAAATTTTAGGATTATTTGTTCTAGCTCTGTGAAAAATGCTGTTGGTATTTGGATAGGGATTGCATTAAAGGTATAGATTACTTTGGGTAGTACAGACATTTTAACAATATTTGTTTTCCAATCCATGATGGAATGTCTTTCCATTTCTTTGTGTTGTTTTCACTTGTCATCAGGGAAATGCAAATCAAAACTACAATGAGAGATCACCTCACACCTGTCAGAATGGCTAAAATAAACAACATAAGAAACAACAGGTGTTGATGAGGATGTAGAGAAAAGGGAAACCTCTGTTGCTGGGAATGCAAACTGGTGCAGCCACTGTGGAAAACAGTAAGCAGGTTCCTCAGAAAGTAAAAAACAGAACTTCCCTATGATCCAGCAATCACACTACTAAGTATTTATCCAAAGAGTACAAAAATACTAATTCAAAGGGATACATGCACCCCAATGTTTATAGCAGCATTATCTGCAATAGCCAAAGTACGGAAGCAACCCAAGTGTTCATCCATTGATGAATAAAGAAGATGTGGTATGTATGTGTCTGTCTATCTATCTATGGAATATTACTTAGCCATAAAAAAGAATGAAATCTTGCCATTTGCCACGACACAGGTAGAGTCAGAGAGTATAATGCTAAATAAAGTAAGTCAGAGAAAGATACAAACCATATGATTTCACTCATATGTGGAATTTAAGAAACAAAACAAATGAGCAAAGGGAAAAAACAGAGAGGCAAACCAAGAACGAGACTCTTAACTATAGAGAACAAACTGATAGTTACTAGAGGAGAGGGGTTGGGGGATGGGTTAAACAGGTGATGCGCAATAAGGAGGGCACTTATGATGAGCACTGGGTGATGTATGGAAGTGCTGAATCACCATATTGTACACCTGAAACTAATATTACACTGTATGTTAACTAACTGGAATTTAAATAAAAACTTAAAAAAAAAAGGCACAACTCTGAAAAATTGGTGAAGTTGTAAGAAGGTAGATTTCATCTTGATGAAAGAAGCTTTCTAACAGCTGTTGACAATGAAATGGGCTGTCCAATAACTGAAAATGTTAATACAAAGAGGGTGAACTCTCATTTAGGATGTGGTAGAAGGGCAACCAGCTTTGGGGAACACCCATCCACTAACTGAAACTTCCTCAAGCAACCAACTCCTATTTATCCCTGAATTCTCACTTTTAGCATTATCTCCTTCAAGGGAGAGTGTTCCCCTACTCACTTCTCAGGCTGAGCCAACGGCTCCTTCTCTAGGTACCCCAATGCCTGGGTATGCTATTTTCATTGCCTTTACCATGCCATATCAGAATTCTCTATTTGCATGTCTGCATCAAGCCCCAAAACTGATAATTTCAGGGGCCCATGCTTATTCATTTTGTATTCTTAATACCTAGTTGCAGCATCTGATACACACAGGGGCCCCATATATGTGTACAGAGTTTAATAATAATAATAACAACAACAATAACAACAGTAGCTAAAATGTATTGAGCACTAACTGTGTGCCTGGCACTATTCAAAGCATATTATATATTTTAACTCATTCAATTCTCACAGCAACTCTATGAAATTGGTACTGTTACTTTCCTCAATTAATTGAGGCTGGGTAACTTGCCCAAGACTGCCAACCAAAACAAGCATGATTTCTAAAGTTCCTTTTAGCTCTGAAATTACATTTTTCTTATTTCTGGTGCTTCAGGGATAAATGGCTCTTTCTGCCTATTTTTCTCCCTTAATCAGATTCCACCTTTTGGATGAAGAACTCCAAGTACATGAATACAGAGAAGTGCTGCCCACATGTCTTCTTTCTGCTTCCTGGGTTTTACCTTGGGGAGAAGGCAGCTGCAATTTGTCTGTGATCACTTGTGTTAGTACTGAGCCAGTATCTTTGTAACTATAGAACCGGGAGATCCCACTGCAGCTCTTAGCAGAACAGATGGCAAAACGGTGGAAGGGGACAAAGTCCCCCCCATGACAGCTCTGACAGCGGCAGGCCAAATCTTGGAGAAAGCAGGCACATTCAAGGTGCAGGGCTATCTGCTGTGCCTTGGGCCACAGCTCCCAAGCAGCTTCCCGTAATAGTGGCACTCCAAATTCTAGCATCTCTGTTTGAGGTAGAGATAATTCCTCTTGCAGACTGAGAGGAGAGTCAGCATCTGAAATATAGGAAATATAAGTGAGAGTCTCCCTTAAAGGCCTTTTATGCTATCAGTAGCAAACTCCCAATCAGATGCTGCTAGTTTATAAGAAAATTTTATTTACAATTCCTCTGTATAAAGTATATTACACCAATCTGAGAGTGACACTGACCATATCTTGTACAAAGTACCACAGAAAAGAAATGGTCAGTGGTAAAGAAGTACGCTGAGTAGATTTCTTAGATGCTCCTCCTAAATTGAGCTTTTTTATTACAAATTACTATAAACATCAAATCATCAGAAATGCTCTGTTCAGGGATGCCAGGGTGGCTCAGTCAGTTAAGCGTCTGCCTTCGGCTCAGGTCATGATCTCAGGGTCCTGGGATGGAGCCCCACATGGGCAGGCATCAGGTTCTCTACTCAGCAGGGAGTCTGCTTCTCCCTCTGCCTGCCCCTCCCCCTGCTCGTGTTCTCTCTCTCTCTAACGATAAAATCATTAAAAAAAAAAAAATGAAATGCTCTGTTCAAACATAAGGCCCAAACATATTTCAAAGTCAAAGGGAAATTATTTGTGGAATATATGTGCTTTGGGTAGTCTATGCCATAATTTTATTATCTGGAGAATTTGAGATTGCAAGCTACTTAATGTGTATCTTGCTTTGCTCATGTCTGTTTCAATTCCAGATGTGTTTATCTTCCTTGAAAATTTCTAAAATTAGGAACAGTTTATCCTTTTTTTTCTTATTATTTATATCTAGAAACCAATAAAGGATTATGGTAATATTTTCTGAACCAAAAATCAAGATACAGATATTTAACACATGGGGTTAACAAGGAGCTAAAATTCTTGGAATTAAAACAATTCTGAAAAATACAGGTTATTCGTTCACTATAATCATGGCTCCTTTGTGATTAAAATAATCACTTCCCCCCATTTCTTAGCCATAGTTTTAGGGAACTGAGGCCCATGATAAAGGATATTGATGTTCTTTTTGAACACAAATATCCCTACCCAAGGCTCTCTGTTCAGGTAAGAACAAGGAAGCAGCTCTTCCTCACCTGGCTTTTTCTTCTTCTGCTCTTTGGTTTGTTCAATAATCTTGATAGAGGAAGGCACTAATATTGACTCGGCAGGAAGCTCTTGACTCTTGCTGAACCAGCAGAGCACATGTATATCCACAAGAGCCCTCAGCACCTGAAGTAGCTTGTTTTTATTCCAGCCAGGCAGGAGGTGCTGCAGGAGATCTATGTGGAAGGAGTGACCAATGACTGCAGCACACTTAACCAGCAACTGCTCCTCTAGGCTCAATTGATCCAACTGGTTTACTGCTATTTCTGGAACACAAAACAAAACAAAACAAAACAAGAGAAGTGAACAAGCTTTCTACAAACACAGAATACATTGTGTTGATAATCTGTTCACTTAAAAAAAAAAAAGGTTTTGCTGGGTGCCAGAGTGGCTCAGCCGGTTGAGCTTCTGACTCTTGATTTCAGCTCACGTCATGCTCTCAGGTTGTGGCATTGAGCCCTGTGTCAGCCTCCCTGCTCATCAGGGAATCTGCTTGAGAGTCTCTCTCTCTCTCTCTCCCTCTGCCCCTCCCACCCCCTTTCTCTCTCTCAAATAAATAAATACAACTTTAAAAAAAAAAAAAAAGGCTTGCTTTTGGTCCTCCCCTTCTCCGCTCACCCTAACCTCTTGAGAGAGCCTTATCTCTCAGTCCTCATTTGTCCTTATTCCCCATTCATTGTTCAACCACCACCACCAACAATCAGGTTTTCACTATACCACTGAAACTGTTCTCCCCATGGTCACCAAAACCTTCATTTCTAAAAAGAACATCCCCTATCTGATTATGCCTACTCAATTCTGATGGCTTCTCCATTCTTTATCTCATCAATCATTATAAACTTACTTTGCCCTCTTCTTATTCAATTCCTGCTATGTGTTTAACACTGTCTCTTCACTAGCACCATAGATTTTCTTAAATCTCAGCCACATTATCTCCCTTGCTTACTGCCTCCTCTAGCATAGGAATATGCACAAAGAGAAACTCAGGACCTAATTTTTATCAAATAACTAGAAAACTTCTTAGGCATTAGTCAGACCCAGAGTACAAGGGGCTCACTTAAGTAAAACATTACTCAAGTAGCATTACAAATCTCTTAAAGGCTCTTTGGGCAGTGCCAGAACTTATTTCTAGAAGGCAGGTTTCTTTTTTAGAAGAAAATGGAGCTAGTGTGATAATGAAAGACCTATATTCAATCAATCACCAAATTACTAAGCGCAATGACATCTGTAATTGGTTTGCTTGAGGTTTTCAAGGGACTTGCCTTTTAATAATGGTGGGAGAAGCACAGTATCCAAGTTCACATCATCCTTGACTGTGCAGATATAAAGTTCCTGGTCTTCTTCAGAGCCAGCAGGAAGTATACCATATATTGTAGATTTCATTGCATTGGCTGTAGGGAAAGAAGACTATGACTGAGAAAACACCATGCTCAGTGACTGTAGTTTTAAAGGCACAAAATTACAAGAATTTAGTCAAGGAATTAACAGGATGAAGATAAATAGAGCATATGTTTTAAAGTGGCTTACCCCACCCATCCTGCCTGCTAATTTTCTCTTAGAAACTAATGACATTTTCTCTACCATATGGTATCCAACATTTACACTCTTCCTATTTACTTTCCAGTAGCCCTCTCTTCTATTACATCACAGCCCTCGGATGCCTTTCCAGATTTACACAAACTTCTACCCCTTCCTCTTCTCCCACCCCCTACCCAAATCATCATCCTCATCAGTAATTAATATGCAATTCTTTATTGAACTCTTATGTTTATAAATCCTCTTTTCCTATCCCTACCTCCTGGGCTGCTCAAAAAGGAACTATAAGAGATTGACTGGCTCGATTAAGTTCTCTGAGGCAGGCCAGGAAGGCTTCCTCTTGCTTATAATGTTAGTATGGAATGGGCACATGCTTCATAAGGGTCAGGTGATGCCATATCAAAGGATGAACCCCAGCAGCCAGATGACGGACGGTAAAACGCTGGAAGCTAAGCTTACCTGAGAGTGTCTCCCACTTGCTGTTCTTCTCCTCCTTTTGGAGGTCGTGAAAGAGCAATACATCTTTGGAGAGAAGGTCCTGGCATAAGACCTCACAGTAGAGGGGGTTTCCAAAGCACCTGTGGAGAAGGTAGCTGTAGAGAGGTAAGTAGGGGATTGCTGACTAAGATGCCCACTTGAAGAGAGCCAAGTACAGGGATATTTTATACTGAGGAATATTTCTCCTTTCTTTTTTTTTTTTTTAAATATTTCTCCTTTCTTAAAGTCAGCTTTTGATGATATATACTAACAGAGGTAAGCAGCAACACAGAAATGTAAAAAAAAAAAATTCTGATTGGTTTGAAATTTATTTATTTAACTTCTCTTTTTTAACTATGTTGTTTTTATTGCTGTTAAAAAGAACAAACGTCCCCTTACAAAGAGCCCTAGAAAGTGGCCTGATCACATATAAACTGACACCAGAAGCAAGCCATCCAAGTTCTGTCTTGTAAAAACCTGGATGATAGCCTAGGGAGGTAGCCCTTTACTGGTTTACTAGGAGACTGTCTATCCTTGAATCTGGTCTTGGGCCTCATCATGGTTACTAAGGCCATTCTCTCCCCCAACATGGGTAAGTGAGACCTGAGCCTTCTCACTTATATTATGGCACTGGCTCTGCCCTTAATGAAGTGCTCAGCTAGTCCTAGCCACTCACATCTGCAGCTCTTGGGGGATGCTCACCACCCCCAGTTCCCAACATGCCATTCGCAACAGTGAGGTTGTTGCCAACTTCAAAATGGGCACAAGGACAGCCTGGGAGCTCTGCAGGAAGTGCTGGGCACAGCCACACAGGGTGAAGGTAGAGGTCAATGTCATCACCATGATGATGGGCACAGTGGAGAGTAATGTTTCCAAAAATTCCCAGGAAGCTGCATCCATATATTGGGCTTCGTCAATGAGGAAAATCAGTGGTGTTTCCCTCACTGCCTGAAAATAACAGCAAACAGTGACAACCTTTGATTAGAAATGAAGTAACCTGATTTTCAAATGTACCATGAATTTCCCAACAGCAATTTAAATAAAATGTCAACACAGGCTGGGATTTTCTGAGTAAAATGTGTCCTAAGTCCAGGTAATATTTTATTTTATAAGTTTAAAATATAGCCAGGATATCTAATTTCTAAAGAAATGTCCTGAGGTTCTTTGGACAAGAAAATACTCTAACTGAAAAACTAAATGAACATCAAAATATTCTCCAAATCAAACTTGAAGCTTTCAAACATTTCATTTTGGCAAAGGCTTCAAACTGTGTGGGAATTCATAATACTTTATATCAGTAACTTCCAAACCAGGCTGCACATCAGAATTACCTGAGTGCTTGTTAAAGCTACCAATTACCAGGCCCTATTCAGGTAAACTTTTAAAAAATATACTCATTTTTAGCCACATTCCCCACTCCCCTGCTGCAGCCGGTAACCATTCTAAGGTGTTTACTGTAATCCTTTTGTTTGTATTGTGTTCTTATGAAAGGTGCATCATTGTTTTGTTAAGTAAACTTTTTATGTAAATGCTACTATATAGATCTCCTTGTTTGTCTTTTTATTCAGGATTATTTTTAAGACCACTCTGTGTTGCAATGTTTTCATCTATTCCCTTATTTCTAGACTTCTGCATTATGCTGCATAGCTCTCATCCATGAGTTCATGCCATTGCGTCCCTCTTGTCCACAAACACTGCCGTGAACAGACTCCCTGAGACATAGGTCCAAGAGTGGAATTGCTAGGTCTAGAAGACGCATGTTATTAAAATTTGACTAGTTACTTCTAGATTGCTTTCCAGAATGAATACATCAGTTTCTGCTCATAGATATTTTTGACTCTGTAATCTGGGTTAAGGCTTGAGTGTATTTGTAATAAATAGGAGGTAAAACAGCTATCTGCTTGCATTTAGAAACCCTGTTTTAAATTAAGAACCAAGGATCAGGGAAGAGCAAAGAACTTTTCTTGTATTCTGTGCAATAGGATTGATTCAAGGTTAAAGATAGATACAAACAATGAAGATATCACAAATAGGCAGGCCTAAGTCAAGGTGTGCTATGGATAGATTAAAATAAGCACAAACCATCTCCACATATTAAGAGTTAATGGTATGTAGCAAAAATACCCACCTCCTGAAGCACTTGAAAAAAACATGCCTTAACCTTCTTTTGTCTGGTCAGGTCATCCATGTGCGAAACTTTGAAGGACAAGGGAAACTAACCAGGAAAATTATTCATATATTAGCATTCACAATGATGATCTAATAAAAATATACAGGTTCTCCAAAGGGAGCAGATGATTCTATTTTGAGTGAGAATGGGTTTCTTCTATAGGACGGGGCATAGGGTCACAAATGCTGATCCAACATCAATATAGAGTTCAGAGAGTAAGATGGAAAGTCAACGGGAGGTTAGAGGGAGAGAAAGAGAGACCTCCTTTCCATTCCCAGACTCTGGCAAACACTTAAAGGGTCATGACTAAGAAGTAAAGTGACAGGTTGGACTTAGCAATGTCACTTTAGACAGCTCCAGTACCCCAGTTTTTCCAAGTATGCCAGAATGAATGAGTGCATGAAACTTGTTAGAAAGAATTGCAACGGGCATCTCCTAACATTGTGCTAGGCCATGGCACGTGAGTTACCATGGACCTGAGAGTCAAAGTGAGGCCATTCCTCCAGCACTTTGGCAAGGGCCAGAGCCCCAGGCAAGGCCTGTCTTAAAACGGCTAACCCGAGGACTGCAGAGATTTTACTTTTCTCTATTTTCCATTATATACAATGCCCTGCAGGCTTGGTAGATTAGAAGTGATGGAGGAAGAATAAATGGAATTGTGGACCAGGGAATTCTTAGTCTGCTCACTCTTGGGTACCACGTAAACCCTAGACCACTGGAAGCTTTTGAGATTCAGATGCTGGTTCAAGTGACAAACTCCATGCCATGGCTAGGGTTAAAGAACAAAACATTACAACTGACTTGAGAACACATGGATAAAATTGCTGGGGACGCTCAACCGGTCAGTATCACCTTGACAGATTTAACACTCACATTTACACTATGATCTCTTATATACCACCTCCTTTAAAATGTATGCACTAATCACATAAAGTACTATAATCATCATTTCACAGGTGAAAAAATGTAGTCTCAGGCAAAGCGATTTGTGCCACGACATTCAATTAGCAAGTATTGGAGTCAGTCCTAGAATCTACTTTCCTCAACAAAGAGAAAGCCTGGGTTTTGGTGTCAAAGGGATTTCAAATCTCAACCCTGCCATTGCTAACTATATGTTCTTAGGCTATACATATATGGCCTAAGGGCATTAGATTAGAAAACAATCCTGGGTCCAACTATCCACCAAAAATAACATTAGTATCCAATTCAGAAAGCCACGGCCTTCATTACCTTCACAAAGAAGAGGTCATTAAAAAGGCAGTGAAGAGGTTCCTCCACCATCCCACGGAGCTGTTTGTGTAGGCACTCTTGCCGGTAATAGGCTGGACATGCATCAATCTCAAAGAAGATGGCCATGAGGGTCTGGATGGCATAGAAGCACTGCTTGAAATCTGCTTCCTTCAGCTTCAATGGTAACACCCTGTGAATGTTAATATGGTCACTGGGAGTCCCTTGACCCACAGAGAGGTTACTCACTCCACTAGCCCAAGGATGCTGAATCTAATGATACAAGAGTCTTACCAACAAGGGAAAGGAGCCTCCAGAGAAGTAGACACTGAGCCAGAAAGCAGGAATCTTTACCTGTGTCCTTCCTTTTGGGCTAGGAAGTTTATTTCAGCCAACAGCTGACTTTTTCCATAGCCTTTTCCACCTTCATACAAAACTGCTTGTCCCTTCTTCTGGTGCAAACATTCCCGCTGTGCCATTTGGAAGGCTTCTAATTCTTTCTCCCGGTCTGTAGAGAGACAGGGAGCACCTAATACTCCTGTGTTTTTAGTAGACACTCTATTTATTTTGCAAAGGTAACTCTCAATGGTTTTTTCCCCTAGAATCCTGGGCAGAATCCCATTCTTTGATGAGGCTTCACATCTCTTTGCATAAAATCAGTTCTGGACTACACAGAAATGTGTGCTGGGCTTGGGGGTTTGCTCTGGAGCCTAAATAATAACATTAAGAATAATTAGGGACCACAGAGACATGGGAGCTACTATATCTTCTTAGCTTTTTGTAACATTATAACATTTTAGTTATACTGTATATATATATACATTATAACAATCTAGTCTTCAAAGCTGGTCACAGGCTATGTAAAGATAATAGACTAATAGATATAAATGAAGATAAATATAAAGATAGGGAATATATAGTGTGTGTGGTAACAGTCTTGGTGCCCTCTTTATGGTCTCATGATGAGGAATTTTCCTCTAGAGATGATCCACAACAAGCTGAGCAGACCTCAATAGCTGAACTCTGACTTACAAAGATTCTTACTAAATGTTGGTACTTCTCAGGCAAAGTGAGAAGACTCTACCTGAAGTGTAAACATTCAACATGGAAAAGAAATGGCAAGGCCTCTTCAAAATTAACATAAATTCAGTAAGAAGGTTGCTCTCTATTCTTTTAATATAATGCTTAGAAGTACTTAGTCTTGCATTTTTTAAAAATCACATTTAACCATCTACAGCTGGAAAAAATATGATTTAAGGTAGAAAAGAAAACTCACCTAACAAAGGGTGATTTTTATTTCTCTCTCTGGCCAAATGTCTCCTCCCAAACATTCTGGGAAAAAGGACAAAGGGAAATGTGTCTATTAACAGATTGGGATAGATAGAATGTATATCTCTAAATAGCTAGAAGACAAACTGTCTCATCAGCAAGTACTTTCAGATAACTGAAAAGGTCCAGAGTTCTATATAAGAGTTGTAAAAAATTAAAAATCTTTGGGAGGAGGAAGGGGAGAAATACTGATTGTTCCAGGCTCAGAGAAGTAAATAAATTGCGAGCTACACAAAGAAAAAAAGAACACCCAGATTCGTGACCTATTGCATTCTCTTCCTGTTGGATAGCAAGAAGTTCACTGAGGAACTAGCTAAGAGCTAAACAGAAAAGCTAAAGATCTCAGACACTAAACCCTCCTCTTATGTCTCTTATTCCAGCACGCCAGGACTCGAAGCATCTTTCTTTCTAGTTTCATACACTCAAACACTGATGATTCCTATACCCTGATTCTGTAAAAGAGATGGGAATAAACTATTAATGACACTCACATACATCTCCTATGGCCAAGGTATTCATACATCTTCCCTGGGTTGGAGATATTTTTCATCATCTTCTCTGGGAGTTTCTTGAAGTTGTAAGCAGGTAGCATGGATCTTAGATATGTTACCTCATCACAGGACACCAAACCTGGATAAGCAGTTATCATTCTGGCCACAAGGCTCACCTTTGGGCCAATAACTGTGTCAGAGAGACAGTAAAGAAAAGAATGGAGAATTTTTGAACCATCTCCTCCACTTTTACCCCCTAAGTCACAGAGCTAATAGTCCAATGTCCTATTCTACCTGTATATTCATGTCTCGCTACTGCCCCAATCACGCCACAGAATACTGGTCCATTGGTAATACTGATGGAAACAAGCCTGGGGGTCAGAAAAGCAACAGTGGGTAAATACAGTCAGAAGCCTCCAAGTCAGGCACTAGAGCTGTGACTCCTCAGATCCAGATGTCTAGTTTTAGAGCTCAGAATAGAAAAGGCCAGAGACTGCTGTCTACATCACATGATGTGTATAAAGTTACAAAGGAACAAAATAGTCCCCGTACTCATGGAGTTTTAGTTGGGGAGCTATTATCAGCAGAAAGACTAAATAAAAACACCTTATATCTGTTAGATAGTTTATATGTTTTTTGAAGTACTTTCAAATTGATTACTCCATCTGATCCTTTGAGGGATAATTAACAACAAATATGTGAGGTATGTAGGGCAAATATTTTAACCCCATTTGACAAAATAAAAAACAAAACCCACAACTGAAGGAGCTAATTAACTTTCCCAGAGTTACACAGCAGAAATCAACAGAAGAGTCAGAATGAGAATCCAGGCCTCCTGACTCCTAGCGCAGTGTTATTTCCACTATACCATGCTGCCTCAGATGAAACCCCAAAATGAAAAGTAGATCAACAGTTATCAATACAGGGTTAATGGATCAATTAATGCTAGAATGTCAGAGTAAAGGAATAATCACAGGGTCAGGCTGTTGATGGAAGCCTTCCTGAAACGAATTAGCCTTTGGAATACATTTTAAAAATAAGTAATATTTTTCATTCATTCATTCGTGTATAGGTTCATTCATTTAGCAAGCACTGAGAAGTATGTGCAGTACCAAGTACTGGGCTAGGTGTTTAAAATATCTTGCTCTGGATAAGTTCAGTTTCGGGCAGCAGGAAGGTGGTAGAAATTGAAGGAGGCGAAGAGACATATTTATAAGTTAGCAAGACAAATACTACATATTGGAGATCAGTATAGCAAATTAACAGAGCAAACAGAATGAATATACTAACTCATACTAGAGAGTTAGAAAAAGCACTCAGAAAGGAGAGGGTGTATGACTGGACTTTGTAAGTTGAAGTACTGTGAAAGCGGGGCAACAGCATTCCTTTCAGTGGGAAAAGGCAGAGACTCTGAAAAGCCTGCTGTGTTTGTGCAAAACTAAGCAGTTCAAGATGGCTACAGCACAGACGGTGTGTCCAGTAGGGACAAGTGAAGGGAGATGTGGTCCTACCTAGGCCAGGAATGGGAAAGCACTAGAAATATGAATTATTTAAAAAGGGGGCATACACTGTTCCAGGTGAAGAAAAGGTTCAAAGGTAGCAAGTTCATACATAACAGGGAATAATCAGACTTACTTGATGTGAAAATTCACTTGATGTGAAAATTTCATATGACGGATAAGATATGTGGATGGAGAAAGAGGGTACAACGAGGCATAAATTAGTTTCAAGTTAAATCTACAAATAAACCATTTTCAGTTGTTTACAAAGAGCACAAAACGTGGCAAAAATGCTAACACTACTGTATCTTTGCCATCAAAATTCTCCTGCCTTCTTCTAAGGCCAGGATTGAGGACTTTTACTTGGGCCCATTGCTCAGGGTGAGTAAGAGACACCCAAGACCTAAACCACGCAGTTGGTTCTGCTGCCACACCAAGAATAAGACTAAACATCTTCGGATGTTTCACCATGCTTCCTTTGTCTAAAATGCCCTCTCTCGCTTTCCCCAATTGTTGAACTCCAGCGGTGGTCCCTTCCTATCTTGATAATTGCCCTACAACTTCTCTTCCCATACCTCCCCTCCCTGTAGACAGGCAGCCTTTATTCTACATTCCCACGACATACAGACATATTATTTGTATTATATTAATTTACACATTTGCTTGTTCCTTTGTGGTGTTCTTAAATCTTGTTATGAGTATTCGGTGCCTCCCTCTTTCACCCCATTAGATGGAAACTTATCTTCATTTTCCCTGGGTATCTATTACATAATTCTGTGCCTAATGATTCCTTAATAGAGATTATTTTCTGACTTCCCTTAGCATGTTCTCTCCTCTTTAGGCAGATTCTGGACACTCTCAACCCCAGCTACTTGTTACTGCCTCCTACCCTGCCTGAAGAGCCCCCTGGGGCCTGAGAAGCTCCTCTCTGCCCCACCTTCCTCCTCACTTGGTCTCAGCAAGATTCTCCCAGCAGAAGCTGAAGATGCTGAAGGAGCTCTCCAGGGCATGTGCACACTCATCTGGCTTCTTATCCCCGGGAAGGCCAAAAACACAGAGGAACATGCAGCTCTGGGACAGATGACAAAGAAGGAAAAGAGAAGTTTACCTGGGGAAAGAATATGCTTGCCTCAACTGGACCAACTCCCCTGAATGAAGCCAGAGCTTGTCCCCACTGGTTTTCTGTTAGGAATGTTGAATTCTACAGGATTCATGAAATGGACACTCTGGGCCACATCAACATGGAGATTAAAAAAAAAAGAAGAAGAAATAAAATCTTGATTTAACTAACTCTTCAAAGAACTGAAATTTAAAACATAAGAAAAACTGATGTCAAGAATTTTTCAAAAATTCCATTTCTAGTATGTGCCTTGAGCTGTCTATCTACTCACATTTTTATTCACCTACAATGTCATGTATTATGATGCTGCTCTTTTTCAAGCTCCTCAATTATCAGAATTATCTGATTACACTCACTTTACTAATAGAACCAGAAAAATATGCTTTTGCTCTGACAAAGATTTTTCAACAAGAATTGAATGAAAAAGGACATGGAGATAATCTTCAGTTACCCTGAAAATTAAATTAACTAGAACATCCCATTCCTTAACAATTATTAGTTGAACTTTTGATGTCCTATAGCTTGTCACAAAATAAACAGCAGGGAATTTGACTTACATATGTGTTATGTGGGGAACAAGACTATTATTCCTCACTCACCTTTAATGCTGATGGGTCAAGTTTCCTTGTACTTACTTTCTCAAACATAAAGATCCGGCTTAGCTGGCCACCCCCTTTCTCTATGACTGTGGAGATGTACAGGGCAGCCTCCTGGATAAGATGACACAAATGAGACATCCATGCTGTCTTGTGGAACTCTAGGCTGACCAAAACCATAGTCACGGTACGGAATTCGGATATATACTCCATAGGCTGCCCTTCATCAATCTACAAAGACACAGTGAGTTATCGTGCCTGTATCTTCAACTCTCAGTATCATGTTTAATTAAGCATTTGAATTTTATATTCCATGGTGAGTATGAGAAAATAACTTACAGATGTCAGACAAAAAACTTAAAATTCAGGTTTGAGAAGTATAGAAGATGTACAAACCAGTACACTTGGAATTAAAACTGTTTGACTTTAAACCTAATTCACTGATGAAATTTGCCACACTTTTATGTTTTCTCTTAGAGGTAATTTGATATGTCCATTCTACTAGTCATTATATCACTTACTAAGGTATTCATATAGATTCATATATACACAATCAACACATATTTACCAAGCATATACTCTCTACCCTGTTTACTAAACAATGTACTAGCTTCTTGAGGGACACACTGAAAAACAAATATGGCTTCCACTTGCTAGAACTGAGAAATCTGAAGTTAAGACATGTCATCACAGGAACTGGTACAGATGGGGAAACCTGCCAGCATTACAATGGAGAGGAGATGAACTGGATCAATATGAAAAGGTCATCACATATAAATGTACACCTGTCAACATAAACACACACACACAGTCTACACGATGACTCAAGAACTAGGAAATAACCTTCTTCAAGAGGTTTTTCATTATGTGCTTCCGCAGGGTTTGTTCAAGCGTAGAGTCTGGATCCAACTCCAGGGCAGTTCTTAGAGTATCTGAGAAAAGGAAAAAAAACAAAATGTCTCCAGCCATGTGGAAAATTTATCTTTGAAATTTTGGGCTTGGGGAGAAAGGACCAAGTAACTTACCAGCACTTGTCCGGTAATGTGGCAGGTAATCAAGGCACTTGTCAAAATGCTCATCAAAATCAAATGGGTCAATGATCCGCATATCTCTTAACTACAGAAAGGAAACTGCTCAATTGGGCGCCCACCCACCGACTGGATTACTGTTGGTCCCTTAACAGAGGGGCTGAGGATGCCATTTCCCTTGTTGATCAATGTATCTTTCCAGCCTTATTTTTCTGCCTCATCTAACTTCCTGGGAGGATATCCCCCACCTCCCTCCAAAATAGAGTTCTAGTGGTTGTTGGTTTAGTCAAGCCGTATGTGACCAGCACCAGAGCACTGCCCTGTGTAGGAGAAAGGCCTTTTCAGGACGTGCAATGGATGGGACCAGTCTCCTACCTTCACAGCTTCATCCTCCCTCATGATTTCCACTTCAAACATGTACTGCTCACAAAGCTTCCAGCAGTTCCAGGACAAGACAATCTCATTTGCCTGAGCCAAACGCTGAGCTACCTGGACATCATCCACATTCCGCCCAATCACCAAGAGGTACTGTCGCTGCTCATCTCCAACAATAACCTGGGAAATCCGACCTGCAGACAGACCTATCCAGAAAAAAGGAGACCAGTGGTGAATAGCCAAACTCAATTAGAAAACTATGCACATTGCTCTATGCATCAAGCCAGTCTTGTTATTGCAAAAATATTAGGTGAGCTTACCTTCAAAAATATTACTTTGCCTCATATTTCCTTCTGTCTTAAGCATATCCAGACACATTCAAACAAGCCTGGGTTGTATGGAGGAAGAGGCAAGAGATCCTAGGCCTCTAAGATTCCTCTCTTTAAGTTGTTCTTCTAATAAACAACTAGGTCGTGATGGCAGAGACCGAATGGTTATGCTCAGAAACTGCTGCCACAGTGACTATACCACCTCCTCAACATATAATCAAGGCTAAGTGATTTTACCAGATAAAATACCAATCAGTATTTTACCAGACTTGGGCTTTGCCATACACTTTTATTCTATTCCCTGTTTTTCTTACCCTGAGGCATTTCTCACTGCTAATATGGCTAAAAAACCGGTTTGCTTGCCAGAGGAAAAAGGACTATATCCAAGTTAAGCCTGCCCTTAGCTAAGTTACCCAATCTAAGCTAAAAGCAAAGGGAAAATAGTTTTAAAAGAATCGTAGAGATATATGCTTTTGGCCAAGATGGATTAACAGGTGGTGAATTTACCATAATTCCCAGAACAATGAAGAAACTAGAAAAAACACACAAAGTAACAGTTTTCAAGATATTGGACATCAGGTAATAAAGGACAATGATACCTGAGAGATAGGAAACAAACCAGGTGAACCCTCTGATACCCTAGCTTACTGCATGGAAGAGTTTCCAGGACTTCTCAGGGAGGGGAAGCCCAGGTATAGCCCAGAGGACTCCTCAAGTTGAGGAAGCAGAGCTAAGATCTGAGGAGGCCAAGGTGGTTAGAGTTCACAGGGCACTGTGAGTACTGGAGAGAAGTGTACAGAGAGAGAATTCCAGAGATTTGTACCAGGTCCCCTACAAGTCTTTAGCTGAGTACTGAGTACTAACAAGTACATCAATGTGAGGAAACCACATTGAAACCAGGGAAAGAGCCACCTGAAGAGATTAGAAGGAACAAGCCCCAGTATCACGCAGGGCTGGCAATAGTTCCTGTTCCCACCAGCCAGAGTGTCAAACTTAATAAGTCACAGGACATTAGGTACAGTATTCAGAAGGGGTTTGCCTCAGGAATGGGGCAAAACCAGCCCTGGACTAAACACTGCTCTGGTCCCACCCAACAAAGTTTAAAAGCAAAACCTGAAAAAAAATCAAGCTAATCACATCCCAGAAGTATGCTCAAGGATATTTACAGAAGTATAAAAAAAATCCAGCATCCAACAAGGTTAAATTCACAATATCTGGAACCCACCCAAAATAACCAGGCATGCAAAGAAAAAGGAAAATACGATCCACAATGAGGAGAAAAATCAATCAATCAAGCCTAACCCAGAATAACACAGACGATAGAATTAGCAAATAAGAAAACATTAAAAGTTATAACTATATTCAAGAACCTAGAAAAATGAGTAAGTAGAGACACTGCAAAAGAAAAGGTCTGTACAGTTGAAAACACAGCAATAGAAACTATCCAAAATGAAAACAGGGAGAAAAAAAGAAACAATGAACACAATATCAATGACTTGTAGGACAATTTCAAGCAGCCTAATATGTGTGTAATTGGACAGAGGAGGAGGAAGAGAGAAAAAAATTATTTGGAAAAATAATAGCAGAACATTTTCTAAATTTGATAAAACCCCAAACCCTATAGATCCAGAATCTCAATGAGCTGCAAGCACAAAAGTGACAGAAAACTATATCGAGGGACATCATAATCAGATTACCCAAAACCAGTGATAAAGAAAAAAACCGTAAGTGAAGCTGGGGTCGGGGGGTGGTGGTGGAAGGAAGACATTATATACAAACAAAGATAAAGATGAAAGCAGATTTCTTGTTGGAAATGCTGCAAGCTAGAAGTCCTGGAAACTCTTCCATGCGGTAAGCTAGGGTATCAGAGGGTTCACCTTGTTTGTTTCCTATCTCTCAGGTATCATTGTCCTTTATTACCTGATGTCCAATATCTTGAAAACTGTTACTTTGTGTGTTTTTTCTAGTTTCTTCATTGTTCTGGGAATTATGGTAAATTATGGTAAATTCACCACCTGTTAATCCATCTACTGTACCTAATGTCCTGTGACGTTAGTTGTTGTTTAGAAAAACAACTTTAATGTAAGAGAGAAAATCCCCCATCAACCTAGAACTCCATACCCAGTGAAAATACCTTTCAGAAAACAGAGGTGACATAAAGATTTTTCAGACATACAAGAACTGAACTAACACATATCTAGCAAACCCACACTATGAGAAATGTTAAAAGAAGTTCTTCAAACAGACAATAATAAGTGTTAATAAGGACATGGACAAATTGGAACACTCACACATTGCTGGTGGGAATGTAAAATGGTACAACCACTTTGGGAAAAAGATTAGCGATTCCTTAAAAAGCTAGACATATATCTACCATATGATCTAGACTTTTCACTTCTAGGTGTTTACCCAAGAGAAATAAACACATGTCTCTTTGAAGACTTATACACAGATGTTCATAGTAGCTTTATTTGTAATAGCCAAAAATTGACAACCCAACTGTCCATCAAAAAGTGAATGGATAAACAAATTGTGGTACATCCATATAAAAGAATACTACTTAGCAATAAAAAGGAGTGAACTATTGATACATGCTACAACATTCTTTAAAAATGAAAATAATCTCTAATGACAGAAAGGAGATCAGAGATTTCTTGAGGATAGGGAGGGGAGTGGTAGGAGGGGGGTTATAAAAGGGTACAAGGAAACTTTAGTGAGTGATGGGTATGTACATTATCTTAATTGTGGTGATGGTTTCAAAAGTATACAAATATGTTATGTACAGTATCAATTATGAATTATCCATCAATAAAACAAAAAGCAAAACAACAAAAAATGCTAGGACAGAAGAGATGACATATAATTCAGAATATAATTCTTCAGGCTGCTCCTCAAAATATAAATGAATAGGTAGAGTCAACTTTTGCCCTTCATTCAGAAACCTCTTGATGTTTCTGGACTTCTGTGAAGGAGCTTTGTATATAGAGCTTCCCCTCTAATCCTGACTCTGTCACTGATGCAATTTTTGCCTCTGTGTGCAGCTTTTAAATCTTTATTGTATTGTATTACATTTTTGATTATGTAATATAATAACATAGTTGAAAAATCAAACTATATAAAGAATATACATAAAAATTCTTGATTCTGATTTTTGGGGAAGATGGTACAGTAAGAGGATCCTAAATTCACCTTATCCCAGACACAACTAGATAACACTTGGATCAGAGCAAACAACCCAGAAAAGGACCTGAAGATTGGCCAAACAAACTCCATGCCTAAATGTAGAGAAGAGGCCACATCGAAGAGGGTAGGAATGGTGAGGACTCAGTGGGAATCTAAACCCCGTGGGTGTGACTGCTGGAGGGTGGGAGCCATGGACAAGAAGAGGGGCAAGAAGCACACTGGGGAGCCTACAAGGAGAAGAGACATCCCTATAGCATTTGGCTTTAAAAATCACAGGGGCTGAATTTCATGGGTGCTTATTACCAGTGGGACTTAAAGCCTGGAACTTTAAAAAACAGTGGGCTTGGCTCTGAGAGAGCTTAGCTAGTGATAGGAAGCTGAGCCCCTGCCCTTAAAAAGACAGCACAGAAAACAGCGTGCAGAGATACAGCTTGGAAGCTGAAGTTTGAAAGGCGCCTGTGGCTTATGGGAAGGAGAGTCAGTTACTAATCTCAGAGTTCACTGAGGGACTTCTCCAGGAACAAAGGAGCTGGCAGGTGCCATTTCCCTTCCCTGCCCCTCATCATAAACATACAACTGCTACCTGTGGGAATGAGTGCAGGGCCAGCACTTGCTCCCTAACTTGCTTATACTGTGCCCTGCCCTCTCCAGCCAGAACTGCCTCAGTCCTGGTGCTGTGGATCCCCTCCCCAAGAAGACCCAGGCAATCCTTGCCAACACTGTATCTCCCGACCTCCCATGGAGGATGCACACACTTTGTTAAAATTACACACCCTGCCCTTGCATGCTGTCCAGAGTACCCAGGTCCTTCGGCCTCTGCAGCAGCTACACATGCCCTGTGGAGGAGGACCAGTGCCACTAGTTAAAAGTACACATCCCACCCACTACTTTCAAGAGCAAGAGATGTAGCTGACTTTCCTAAACACACAGGGACAGAGAGAGTTAGGCAGAATGAGGGGACAGAAGAATATATCACAAATAAAAAAACAGGACAAAACTACAGCAAGAGACCTAAGTGAAATGGAGATAAGTAACATGGCTGATAGCAAATTTAAAGTAATGATCATAAAGATATTCACTCAAGAAAAGAGTGGAGGACATCAGTGAGACCTTTAAGAAAGAGATAGAAAACATAAAAAAGAACCAGATGAAAAACACAATAAATGAAATTAAAAATAAACTTGATAGAATCAACAGCAGAGGGAAGAAGGAGTGGAACAAATTAATGAACTAGAAGACAGAGTAATGGAAAGTAATCAAGCTAAACAAATAAGAGAAGAAAGAATTATGCAAACTGAGAATAGACTTAAGGGAATTCAGTGATGCCTTCAGGTGCAATAACATTCACATTATAGGGGTTCCAGAAGGAGAGAGAGAAAAGGGAGGAAAATTTATTTGAAGAAACAATAGCTGAAAACTTCCCTATTCTGGGAAGGAAACACATATCCAGATCCAGGCAAAGAGGTCCTCCAACAAAATTAACCAAAGGAGGTCTACACTAAGACACATAGTAATCAAAATGGCAAAAAGGAGTAATAAGGAAAAAATTTTTTAAAGATTTATTTATTTGAGAGATGTGGGGGGGAGGGGCAGAGGGAGAGAGAAACTTAAGCAGACTCTGCATGCAGCACAGAGCCCTACGTGGGGCTCAATCTCATGACCCTGAGATCATGAACTGAGCCAAAACCAAAAGTTGGACGCCCAACCAACTGCGCCACCCAGGCACCCCCAAGAAAAAAATGTTTAAAGCAGCAAGAGAAAAGACAATTACATATAAGAGAAACCCCATAAGGCTATCAGCGGTTTTCAGCAGTAACTTTGCAAGCCAGAAGAGAATGGTATAATATATTCAAAGTGCTGAAAGGGAAAAATCTACAGCCAAGAATACCCTATCCAGCAAGGCTATCATTCAGAATAGGAGAGATAAGAAGTTTCTCAGACAAACAAAAACTAAAGGAGTTCATGACCAACTAAGTCAGCCTTACAAGAAATACTAAAGTGGACTCTTTGCGTGGAAAGGAAAGACCATAAGTGAGTGTATGATAAGGAGGAAACACAAAAGCAGTAAAAGTTAAGTATTTCTGTAAAAAAAATCAGTCAAAGGAGTCACAAAAAAAAAAAAGGATGAAAATATGACACCATATACCTAAAACATGGAAGGAAAAGGAGTAAAGAATGGGTTCAAACTTAAGTGACCATCAACTTAATATAGACTGCTATATGCAGAAGATGTTATATACAAACTTAATGGTAACCATAAATCAAAAACCACTAATAGATATGCAAAGAATAAAGAGAAAGGAATCCAAGTATATCACCAAGGAAAACCAGCAAACCATGAAAGAGAGAAAGACAAGAAAGGGTCAGAGAAAAACTACAAAAACAACAACAAAACAAGTAACAAAATGACAATAAATACACATCTATCAATAATTACTTAGAATGTAAATGAAATAAATGCTCCAATTAAAAGGCACAGGGTAACAGAGTGGATAAAAAAACAAGACCAATCTATATGCTGCCTACAAAAGACTCATTTCAGACCAAAGATATCTGCAGATTGAAAGTGAGAGGATGGAGAAATATTTACCATGTAAATGGATGACAAAAGAAAGCTGGAGTAGCAATATTTATATCAGACAAAATAGACTTTAAAAAAAAGACTGTAACAAGAAACAAAGAAGGATACTATATAGTAAGAAAGGGACAATCCAACAAGATATAACAATTTAAATATTTATGCATGGGAGCACCCAAATCATAAAACAATTAGTAAGAAACAGAAAGGAACTAATTGATAATAATACAATAGTAGGGGACTTCACACCCCACTTACATCAACGGACAGGTCATCTAAACAGAAAATCAACAAGGAAACAATGGTTTTGAATGACACACAGGACTAGATGGACTTAACAGATATATTCAGAACATTCCATCCTAAAACAGCAAAATACACATTCTCTTCAAGTGCACATGGAATATTCTTCATAATGGATCACATATTAGGCCACAAAACAGGCCTCAACAAATTCAAGAACACTGAAATCATACCATGTACCTTTTTTAACGACAACACTATGTAACTACAAATTAACCACAAGAAAAAATCTGGAAAGACCACAAATACTTGGAGGTTAAACAATATGCTACTAAACAATGAATAGGTCAACCAAGAAATCAGAGAAGAAATCAGAAAGTACACGGAAACAAATGCAAATGAAAACACAACAGTCCAAAATCTTTGCGATGCAGCAAAAGCAGTTCTAAGAGGGAAGTTTATGGCAATACAGACTTACCTCAAGAAGCAAGAAAAATCTCAAATAAACAACCTAACCTTACACCTAAGGGAGCTAGAAAAAGAACAACAAACAAAAACCAAAACCAACAGAAGGAAGGAAATAATGAAGATTAGAGCAGAAATAAATGATACAGAAACTAAAAAGCAAGTAGAACAGATGAATGAAACCAGGAGATGGTTCTTTGAAAAGATCAACAAAATTGATAAATCTCTAGCTAGACTCATTAAAAAAAGAAAGAGGACTCAAATAAACGAAATCACAAATCAAAGAGGAGAAATAACAACCAATACCACAGAAATACAACAATTATAAGAGAATATAATGAAAACTAAATGCCAACAAATTGGAAAGCCTAGAATAAATGGATAAATTCCTAGAAACATACAACCTACCAAAGCTGAAGCAGGAAGAAATAGAAGATTTGAATAGACCAATTACCAGTAAGGAGATTGAATCAGTAATCAAAAACTCCCAACCAAAAAACAAGTCCAGGACCAGATGGCTTCACAGACAAATTCTACCAAACATTTAAAGAAGTTAATACCTATTCTCCTCATATTATTTATTCCAAAAAATAGAAGAAAAACTTCCAAATTCATTCTATGAGGTCAGCACTACCCTGATACCAAAACCAGATAAAGAAACCACAAAAAAAGAGAACTACAGGCCAATATCTCCGATGAACATAGATGCAAAAATCCTCAACACAATACTGGCAAACTGAATCCAACAATACATTAAAAAAATCATTCACCACGATCAAGTGGGATTTATTCCCAAGATGCAAGCGTGGTCCAATATTCACAAATCAACATGATACATCACATCAATAAGAGAAAGGATAAAAACCATATGATCATTTCAACAGACGAAGAAAAAGCATCTGACAGAACAATATCCCTTCATGATAAAAGCTTTCAACAAAGTAGGTTTAGAGGGAACATACCTCAACATAATGAAGGCCATATATAAAAAACCCACAGCTAACATAATCCTTAATGGGGAAAAACTGAGTTTTTCCTTAAGGTCAGGAATAAAACAGGGATGTTCACTCTAAACACCTGCATTCAATGTAGTACTGGGAGTCAAGCCAAAGCAATCAGACAACAAAAAGGAATAAAAGGCATCCAAACTGGTAAGGAAGAAGTAAACAGAAGAAGTAAAACCCTATTTGCAGATGACATACTATATGTAGAAAACCCAAACACTCCACCAAAAAACTGCAAGAACTGATAAATGAATTCAGTAAATTTGCAGGACACAAAATCAATGTGCAGAAATCTGTTGTATTTCTATACACCAATAATGAAGTAGTAGAAAGAGAAATTAGGAAAACAATCCCATTTACAACTGTACCAAAAATAATAAGACACCTAGGAATAAACTTAATGAAAGAGGTGAAAGACCTGTACTCTGAAAACTATAAAACACTCATGAGAGAAAGTGAAGATGACATAAAGAAATGGAAAGGCATTCCATGCTCATGGACTGGAGGAATAAATATTGTTAAAAAGACTATACTACCCATTCATTTATCGATGGCCCCTTGGGCTGCTTCCATAATTTGGCTACTGTAAATAATGCTATAAACATAGGGGTGCATGATCCCTTTGAGTTAGTGTTTTTGTATTTTTTTGTGTAAATACCCAGTCGGGTGATTACTGGATTGTAGGGTAGTTCTCTTTTAAACTTTTTGGGGAACCTCCACACTGTTTTCCACAATGGCTGCACCAGTTTGCATTCATTCCCACCAACAGTGCAAGAGGGTTCCTCTTTCTCTACATCCTCCCCAACACTTGTTTTCTTGTGTTTTTGATTTTAGCCATTCTGACAGGTGTGAGGTGATATCTCATTGTAGTTTTGATTTACATTTCCTTGAAGATGAGTGATGTTGAGCATCTTATGAAAAGATGGATAAAGAAGATATGCGTGTGTGTGTGTGTGTGTGATAATGGAATAGTATTCAGCCATAAAAAACGAAATCTTGACATTTGCAACAATATGGACGGAGCTAAGAGTACAATGTAAAGGGAAATAAGTCAGAGAAAGACAAATACCATATGATTTCATTCATATGTGCAATTTAAGAAACAAATGAGCAAAGGGGAAAAAAAGAAAGAAAGAATGAGGCAAACCAAGAAAGAGACTCTTAACTATAAAGAACAAACTGATGGTTACCAGCAGGGAGGGGGTGGGGGGATGGGTTAAATAGGTGATGGGGATTAAGGAGGCACTTGTGGTGAGCACCGGGTGATGTATGAGATTGTTGAATCACTATATTGTACACCTGAAACTAATATAACACCGTTTTTCTTCCAATAGGTAACTTTTATTCATTTCTTATATATCTTTCCAGTGTTTCTTTATATCAATATGAACAAACAAGAAAAATTCTTATTTTTTGTCTTTATATAAAAGGTAGCATACCACAGTGCTTTGCATCTTGCTTTTGAAGATATTGCTATATCAGAATATCTTTTTTTAAAGTTGCATAAAATCTCATTGAGTAGACATATTGTTTATTTAACCAGTCTCCTATAGATCGTTTTATTACAAACCATATTGCAATCAATAATCTTATACCGATAACATTTCATACACAGTCAGGTATACCTATAGGATAAATATTTGGGAGTGGGATTGCTAGATTGAAGAATAAATGCATTTGGAATCTCAAGAGATTACCAAAATTATTCTTCATAGAAGTTGTACTGCTGTTGACTCCCATCAGCAGTGTATATGAGACTGTGTATTCCTCATTGCCTCATCAACAGTGTGGTCAGCATATGAATTTTTGGTATCTACAGGTGAGAAATAATCTCAATGCACTTTCAATTGGCATTTTTCTTATTATGAAATTAAACATCTTTTCACATGTTAAAAGAGATGTATTTCTTTGTCTATGTACTATTTATTTGTGTCCTTTCCCATCTTTCTCTTAAAAAGTTAGTCTTTTGTTGATTTCTAGGTGTTTTATTTCTAATATTCACCCCTTATGTATATAAGTTGCAGATTTTTTTTTTCAGGTTGTCATTTATATTTTGAATTTTGTATAGTGGGTTTTTTTTTTTTTTAATTGATCACTCTTTTAGTAGCTACTACCTATCTTTAGCTGCAGGTCCTGGCCTTCTCTGGTATGGTAGATCCCAAATTTCTCCTGTATCTCCAGACTGCATTTTGCCACCAGGGTAATGATGTCACTGAGTTGATTCTGTTTCACTGTCCAGAGTGCCAGAAGCACATTCCCTGCAGACACACAAGACAGGCTGACAAGGATCAAATATCTGGATTCACCTGATCTGGGCAAAGCTCCCAATAATGCAGAAGATATCATGCAAGGTGTTAGGCAAGGTTCCTTGGCCCTGTACATTATGCTTGGTTAAAATACTGCCTTGGAGCCTCAAAACCACTCATCATAAAAAACAAGACAAGGCAGAAGCTGAAATGTTCCTTTAGTTTAAGAGTATTTTTGATAGGGCGCCTGGGTGGGTCAGTCATTAAGCATCTGCCTTCGGCTCAGGTCATGATCCCAGGGTTCTGGGATCGAGCCCCACTTCAGGCTCCCTGCTTAGTGGGAGGCCTGCTTCTCCCTCTTCCACTCCCCCTGCTTGTGTTCTCTCTCTCTGTCAAATAAATAAAATCTTTAAAAAAAAAAAAAAGAGTATTTTTGATAATCTTCCCTCCACCAGTATACTAACAGAATGGGAGGGGCACTAGCTAAGAGGTTCATAAAATGTAGGTTCATGTTCAAATCTAATTTCAAGGGTGGCTTAATTAAGTTTAAATTTAAAAAAGAGGCCAACTCTGTGGCATATAGCTATTAATGATCCTGAGAGTTCTCCAGATAGGAGATTTTGACTCCTATCTTACACATGGCTTCTGCTCTTAAGGCCTAAGTTTCTCATGCAAATAAGTGCTTTATAGGCACTTATTTTTGTCATTTAATTAAGCAAAATGTAAAGCACCTGTGAACTTAATATGGGCAAGGTTTTTCTATTAGACTGAGAGAACCTTTGAGTCAGTGACTGTGTCTTCTTCATCTTTGTTTCCCCAGGGCCAAGGACATATTAAATAACAAACAATGCTGAATAAACAAATATGCCAAATTCCACCTAAATGAAGTCTTCCTCACTTACAGTCCTTTAAATATTCAGAAAAACTGAAAAATACCTGTGATATTTAGGATATCTCCTCCAAAACACAGCACATCTGAAATCAAGTAAAGGAGAGAGAGGAAAATGCATCAAAATCAGATATACTAGATCATGGCAGAATTATATATGATCAGAAGAATGGTCTACTGAGTTTTTCCTCATATCTTCTCTAGTCTATTTGTTCCCTCCAAGGGACTCTTTTCTTTCCCTTAGCTTCTCCCCAAATCTGTCTGTACCTATATCCATCTTCTTGAAAATGAAAGAAATACTCCTGTTCTCTTCAAAGTCACCCCATTGGGCTCTGGATCCTAGCCCCTCCCACCCTTTCAAGAACTTCACTCCCTCCCTTATCTCCTCTCCACTGGATCATTTCTATTAATATCTTAAAAATGAAAACAAAACACAACACTCTACCTTCCCTTGCTATTAGCTCCATTTTTCTGCTACATCCCCATCAAAAAAATTCTCAAAAGAGTTGGCCATATACAATTTGTTCCTCATATCCTGTTCACTCTTAAAACATTTTCTCTACCATTCTCTTCTCCGCTTTCTCCCATCTGACTCCCAACTCCATCACTTCACTAAAATTTATCAAGATCATCAACAGCATTCACCTTGCTAAATTCAGTATTTTCTCACAGCACTGTACTTTATACTTTTCATTTTCAACTCAGCCAGTCCCAGCCTTCCTCCCCCAGAGACTCTACTTCTCCTTTGGCTTCAGGAACACCACAATATCCCACCTAACTGGCTGCTTTATAGTCTCTTTTGTAAGTTCTTTCTCTCTAATCATAATCTGTCCTGGAGTCCCTCAAGCCTCAGTCTTAGGCTCTCTTTATTTACACTCTCCTCATGTGGACTCAATCAGTTCCTAACTTTAAGTAACATCTTTATGCCATCAACTCACTTTTTGTCTCTAACAGAGATCTATTCTCTGAGCTCCAGGCTCAATCATTGCTACTGACTTCATTCTCCATTTGAATGACTTATTGACAACTCAGTATATTCAAAACAGAACCCTTGATTTTCTTTCTCAAAGCCCAGTCTTTCCCATCTCGGTAAGTGACACCACCATCAATTCAATTATGAGAGCCAAAAAATCCTTGAGAGTCGCTTTTCTCACTACTTCCCACTGGTATCAATATACCAGCAAATCTTGTCTGTTGAACCTGCAAAACACATTTCAAATCAATTCATCTCCTTATGGCTCCACTGCCTTATCTCTAGACCAATGGTTTCCACCTTGGCTTCAACATTGGAATAGCCTGTGAAACTTTAAAAAATCTTTATTTCTGGGCTTACCCCAAGGTATTTTGATTTAATTGGTCTGAGGTAAAGCCTAGACACCAGGATTTTTAAAAGCTCCCCGAGGGCGCCTGGGTGGCTCAGTTGGTTAAGCGACTGCCTTCGGCTCAGGTCATGATCCTGGAGTCCC